CACCAAGGACCAAAAGAAATAAACCTAACACCAGCGGTATGGGTGGAGGCGGTCCGAGACAACTGAGGGGTATTTTAATAGTTCGAGGGGGAAGGAGGAGTAAGATGTCGTAGGGTAGTCCGTAGGAAGACCTAGAAAAATAAAACAAATGCTAGTTGATGCTCCAGAGTATTTATCTCCGAAGAGTTGCAATCAAAGTCGCAAGCAACAACACCTGTCGTAGGATCGTGCTCGCGGGGGTAGAAATTGCTAGAGAGACCTGTTTAATTTTATTTCGCTATGTAGGACGCACCGGAGATAATTAAACTGACGGCGGAGATAAATTACTCGATGAGTCAGCCTATTGGCAAAGCTAGGATCGGTTATAATTAGCTAGGTTCGACGCTTTTGAACTTCGAGGGTCGCTGAGATCGTAACGCTAATTCTCTGAGATGGTGAAGTGCAAAACTTCTTTTTCCAGATCTGTATGCTACTTTGTACAATTTATACCACAGGAATGGCTTTGCGGCCGTCCAGAGATAAATAACAAATAAACGCCGCAAGGACCGGTGTCCCGCCACCGGTCATTCATCTTTCATGGCAAGGGTGGGAGAACACGTTCCTAGGATGCTTCATAGCAGAACATGATACAGACATAAAGAATGAAAGGACAATGTTAATTAAATGCCCCCTGATTTTTAGGGACCATAGTAAATGTCCCGCAAGCCTTTCTTTGTTCACTCGAAGGACATTCTTCATGTCCAGGTTATGGTCTAGCAAGGACCATTCTAGGAAAGTGTTCTCCCATCAGGGAGATGTTCCTGGCATGCCCGCCGGCGGAACATCGGTCTCTCCCCCCAGTGCTTGGTACCTCAGGACTCGTAATTAGGTGATAAGATAAGATTAGATACCTAGTGTGAACCCAACGTCGGACGGAAAGTGTGGCTGTATGCGTGATAGTGTCCCCTCCAGTCTCTGGCAAGTATACCGAATACCCGGATGGTACTCCAGACATGTAACGCAGGCGCGCCGCATCATTGAGCGGTCACGATACTCCTGAAGGCGTTGCTCGCACACGGTGGAACAGGCGCAGTGTGAATCAGAGCTAACTCAGCCGAGGCAAGATCCATGACACAAGCTTGTCGGTCGCCAGTTGTTAAGCAGATGATTGGGACAAATTACACAGAATGCCTGTTAAGGGGCCCCATCCAGCCCAGCTTGAAGGGGACGTTTGAGCGGAGGGAGGAGGACGGGGGAAAGATGCAAAATGAGAAGGAATGAGCAGGATGCTCTTATATACCCTCAGCCATGGGCGACAGAGAAGCACAAAGAAGAGGAGCGGGTTGACATATGTCAGGGGTGAAGAGAGTGTGAAAGGTAGTCTAAACACTAATTCGGGTAGGACGACTTCCAGAAAGAGGCAGATGGGCTCAAGATCCAAGCGACACCCCATCAGAGAGACACCACAACACCCTATGTCTCCATGTAATCACATGCATAGCTGCGTTAGTGCCATTTGCTTACCCGCTACAGCGCTACCCTTGACACGGTATACCTGCCTCTATAGGACTCCCACCGAGTCATGATTTGGTATTTCATGGGATGCTCCTAGTAGACAGATTCGAGAAGTGGCTCAAGCAATTCTCGTAGATCAGTCCCAAAAAAAGAGAAGCGTTTATACCCTTCCTTCCAGCTCTCATTGATGATGCAATGGACATTCGATCTGAATAAGTACATATCAAATAGGCATACACATGTGGACAAAAAGATGAAAGAAATCATAGGGTCATATTTTGTTCAGCGACGCGCTCTCTGTTCGTTGAGGAGGGCAACAGACATGAGCGTGAGGAACAGTAAGTGTGGGATGAGGTCAGGGTGGGCGACACAAAGACCGCACTTCATTATGCAGATCGATACTCAACTTTCAGCATCTCAGCGGTGCTTTGGGCATTGCACGTCGTGCCTAATTATCTTTGGCTACCCAGCTGGAGAATCTGAAGATACTTCAGTTGATCTAGAGCCGGAATAAGAACGGGCAGTCACCGACCTGCGTGTGACCACAGGGCTTATGGCAGGTATGCACACTGCTGGTAACGCATAGTGAATCGGAACATCTGACGATTTTTTGTCTGCGAATTTTATTGCACTGGGAAATGATCGAATACGAGGTAGAGAGAAATAAAACCAGAAATGACATACATGGCACGAGTAAAGTTCAACAATTCTGGGTAACGGTGCGGCTATTATGAACACCATGGGCCTTTAAGGTGATCATGGCAAAGGCTCACTTTATCCAGCAGCACATCTCGGGAGCACTTAGATCGCTAAATGGTGCTTTAATTCTTCTTGTCCAAGCGCGAATTCAGCGCAGTGCAGACCGGTTTATATCCTCGTCGCTTGTGGCGCGTGGCGTTTATGGCGGGGCCATTGTGGCATCCAAATAGTGTCCAATAGCTCCGGATGAGATGCCCAGTTAGCAGAGATCCGCCGTCGTCCCCGCATGGCAGAGTATGATTGAGAACCGCCTACTTTCCGACGATGGTCGAGTTCGACGCTGAACCCTTCAGGAATTCCTTACCTCGCAAGATATGTGTCCTACACAGTGGCATCCAGGGCCTACAACACCGAGTAAAAGCGCGGGTGTCACAGGTGTACAACTCGTAGAAAAGCTTTGTGGCACCGAATCACTTTACAAGACGTGAAAGGTGACTTCATCCTAAAATCCGCTGGATGCCAGTGAGAGTTCAGCCGAGACTAGCTGCCATTGTAGCTAATGGTCGTACGAAATGCCGAGGGATATTTATTAAACTGCGACGGCTCACGGGCACCCAGAGTACCAAGACTATGATGTTCAGGTAGTTGAGTAGGATCTTGAAGAAGTCTCATTAAATTAAATACCTGTGTCCCATAGCCTGGGGGTTTTCAGATCAATACATCGACCAATAGCACAGCGCAACGAGTGCTACATCGGACGAAATATGCGATTAGCGGGGTGGAGGTGGAACCAGATATTAAACGCACACAATATCAGGTACTAATATACGGTGTACGCTGGGCGTTGCATATAAGTGGCAATCTGAAACTGTTCAAACGCGTGAAGGCGCCCACCGACTCTTTGAAAAGTCTCGCTCGAAGCTCAATGAGAAGGGGCATTGCGGCAGAGGACACAGCATATACGCAGTATCTGGGCTAACTTAAACGACAGGGGTGCATTGTGTCTGGATCACATACTGGATCAGAGAACCGTTGCATTCCCAAAAGGTTTATAGATATACTTACTGATACATACACTCGCAACCACTGGCAGCCGCTTTCGCAGTCGGTCCTTAGGCTAGGTCACTTTCCCGATACGCACCAGTGAAGTCTCCCCTTGCGCTGTTTTAGGCAACGACGTCTACTCGATTTGGTACTGGTGGCACCGTCAGGACGGTACTCCACGTGCGTACCGTGTGCGCCGCTGCACGCTCTGTAGTGCTCTCTGCACAATTGAAAGCTTTTGAGGGCACAACCCTCACCACCTTCAATACTTGTTGCTTAAGAGCCTATATACCGTCATCCAATGTTAATTTTGGCGGCTGTAAAGGATTACAACACCTGAAGCTGTTTTGGGCCTCGGATAAGCTAAGAACAGGCTGCTAACTCTATACAGAGAGGTTCCGGTTTGAGAAGAAATTCACTCCGCTGTACGGGGAACCATGCAGTCCAATATAGATGCTACTTGGGCTCTTTTCTCTGCTCAAATCAGCCGGGAGAGGTCGAGGATTGCACTGTGTAGTTGCGCATGCCGACGCTCGGCAGATGGCATCCACGCGAGCCTGCCGTTTCTGGCAGAGAAGCCTGCCTTTCTTGGAATGCGCGAGAGCGCTTTTGCTACTTCGCCCTCCGATAAACACGACCAAACACGCCCATATCAGGCAGGTGAATCACGTTGTCGGTTAGTTTAGCTGCCTAGATTTTAAATACCCAGAACCTGCTAGGTAGACTAGGAAACAAATACCAAGAGAATGCTGGATATATCGTTAATCGAGCAGTTCCCTTTCGTTCGATTGAGAGACTGATTCTGAGTTGTTCGAACTATCAGCAAAGAAAAAAAAATGAAAGCTGACTACCAGAGTCTAGCAGAGGATGTGTATAAGAGTAAAGATATTGAAGTCAAACGTATAGACTTCAACAGGTGTGTCTCAGACTAGAAATTTCCCCCTCAATGTAGAGAGTCGTCGTAGAAATCCAAGTAAGAGATAAATCGATTGCAAGACTGGTACGGCTACCAGTAGTGCTACTGACTGATACTGAGTCGTGCTGATTCTGAATGATACTGTCTCTTCTAGCTACCCAAATTTCTCTCCCTTTTATACCTTTCCAATTCAAGCTCCTCTTCAAATCCCCAGATGAGTTTGAATATGAAGACAATAGGGTGAGAGAAC